AAGTGCCACTCCATTTCCGTGCTCTTAGGGTGGCCTTGGTGCATGAAAGTAAGATCTTGGCTCATTTAGAACAATGGCGGTGGAATCAAAGCGCGCGCGATCGCGGTATACGTTCGTAAAATATTGTCGACATCTACGGAATTCTGTATTTCTAATCCACAATTCATAAACAAAAAAAATGTCACTATGGTATTTCCTGCCTGCCAGTCTCGTGCTGCCTAAAAATATGGCGCAATGTCGCATCTTAAATTAATTATGTAGTCGCTATTACAAAAACGGACTATAAATAAATGGAAATAAATTCTTGAAAATGTCAGGAGCAAATGCTGAACTTAAAAAATTGAATGAATTTAAGAATACGTCATTTTTTTCATCGCTGAGAATTTACTGATGTGATCACGGGTAAAAATGCAATCTCTTTGGAACGTATTCGTTGCGTTTTTAACACACGTATTGTCACATACATGTCGGATCTGAATGGATCAAATTACAGCCACTTTACTTCCTAGGACCACTAAAGGTAATCCAATAACGTCAAAAATTGAAAAATGTAATAAACGGATTATGGCTTTTTATGCTTGTCATTTGCCTAATCTAGAATGACGTAAGTAAAACGAAATGAAATTTTATTTCTTGTTTCGAGATTTGAAATAATCAGAGGAAATGAGAATCTTCGAAAGTTGTTGTCTTGCGCATATTTTTGGAGATTTTTATAAAATTTTATATTTTCTATTTTTATAAATATATAAAAATCCGTAATACGATGGGATGAAGTTTTTATAAAATAATCTTCCAGAATCGCGCAATGGTCTTCGGTTCTAGTAATTATAGCAATTATTGAAGGATCACGAAATGCAAAAAAAAACATAATGATATGTCGCACAAGGTCAGTGCTGACCAAAGGCTGCTACAGTCTAAATTCTTAATCCTGTATAGTATATTTGCGTCCGCTTGCTAACCCTAGAGGTATACCGAGCACTAAAAGTGATTGTTAGCATTGCTTCATAAAAATATCAAGACTTCCTTTACGTAGCTATTATGCAACCAATAATTACATTTGTTCGTCAATTTTTGTATAAAATCTAAAATCTGAAATCTGTTTTCTCAAGGTTGTGTTCAGCTTGATGTTACCAGGTAATGATCTCGCTTTGAAATAACTGTAATAAACCCAATTTTATATAATTATGTTTACACAGTTTATTCCATTGTACAGGTTTTGCACTCGAAATAAATCCTTTTGTAGATCATACTCACACATCGGAATCATTTTTTACTTATCTTTTATTTGCAATCTAACATAAATTTCATTACAACCAATGAATCGTTTATACACGAGACGATATAATAATTACTACAAAAATACAAAGGAAAATAAACGTTTAATTGCAGATTCAACGAATTCGACTCTAATATGATGTTAATTCGATAAGTTACACTAACTCACTGCACGGACTAAGTCATGTAGGCTCGAAACGCTACAAAAGTGTTGTAACTTCTCGCGAAACAGTGATTGTATGCACACTTCTTAGCAGGTGGCGATCGAGTTACAAAATGTTTGTCAACAGACGCAGACGATAAGTGTCTGTGAGCTGGAGAAGGAAGAGAATTCCTTTAATATCACCTGGAACGGAATTCCCGGGATCCGCATTAGCAGAAACCACGTGTACGTCAATGCGACGGTACTCTCCCGTGAATGATCCGGAACGATGATTAACCTGTCAGTGGATCACTTAAGGTAATCGATCGCGTTCTGTTTCGCCGGTCACCGTATGGCGAACAGGAACGAGTCGAGCGACACCTTTTGCTCTCTTCACCTGCTCGGGATCGAGCCGGACAAAACCTGCGCGTTGGGAATCCACGGTGAGAGTGGAACGAGTTACGGAGGGATCTCTCGACGGAATTCACGAGCGCGCACGGGAGTTCCCAAATGCCTCCCGTTTGGTCTCGTGACGAGAGTTCGTGACGTCACGTTGTTGATCGCGGTGCGCGAACACGGAAACGACGACAAAGGAAAATCTCCTCCTATAAAGAGGTAATGACGTCGAAAATGACCTGTTGCGAATAGAGTGCGTTGACTATTTATAGCATTCCCAGGTCCGAAAATTTTTCCTCCTCGATAGCTGCGTCTACGTCAAGCAGGGTCTAATTACTTTGACGAGGCTTGTGTTTTATATCTGTCGTAAACGCATTTCATGACTTTCGAAATTTTATCCGCCCGAACCTGTTGAAAATAAAGAAGTTCGTTTATACGGACGATTGGATAATTTTTCCAACGAGTTTACCGCATTCCTTGTCCGACGATGATGGACGAACGATTCGTTTAAATCAGAGGAAAATGCGCTGAAGTGCTAATGTTTTTAACTTTTTCCAGGAACGTACTGGTAATGTAAGCTTTTCCTTCTTCCTCGTGCGATAAGAACTGCAATATAAAGAGCGATCTGTGTTGAAACAACAACAAGGTACATAAAAAGTATCCGAGTGTTTAGTTGCTAGAAGATATGCGAATTTTCAGAATATACAATAGTAGTGTTACACACTTCGAACGCATGCTTTTCATGCTTTCAAATTTCACGACTTCATAGAGCGTAAGTGGAGATTTCTCTGTATAGGAAATATTCTCCTTTTAATCCAGAAAATGAAGTCGGTGTGGAAATTGCACTATGAAGTAATAAATACATTGTCTCCTACTTTTTCGTGGTTTCCTCTCTTTCGATGGCTATTAATAACACGTGTAAGCTTCATAATTGCAGCAGTAGTTAGAAAGTTCTGATCAAAGTTTAAAAATACAGATCGGAGCAATGAAAAAAATGTTTGAAATAATATTTTCTACGTAACAGTATTTAATATCGTTCGAGAAGAAAATTTGATGACACTGCTCTCACGATATTACTACTAAAGTTCTATATAATTTTTCTAGGGTACTGTAATTTTAATATATAAAGCTACATTTCACGTTAAAGTTAGTTACTCCGTTTTCCTGAACGCTTGATCTGTTGTACAGATAAAACTGACTCGTTCGAGATTGTTTATTTTACAATTCGTTTATTTCAAATTCATGTATTCATACGCATTATACAATGAAAACACTGAGTTAAATTTCCGCAAACATATTCTACGATTCCTAGAAGGAGTTAACATAGTTTCGGTATTATACTATTATAGCATATTTCAACGTGTGTAAAATACAATCAACAAACTAGTTCAGTAAAGTTTAATACGGTTTCAATGTCGTCGGCAAGAAAACCACTTCTAAAAAGTGTGAATTTACATTCCATAGCAACTGCTCGATAACGAGTAACTTTGATTGTTCTGTACCCCTATGCTAATCCAGAAGTGAAAAAAAATTTGATATGTAGGCAGTGATTTTCCGCCTGCAGTGTACATTATTATGCATCGTAAGAACTGCAGATTATTGACTAGTATCGATAACGAATCTAATATACCTCCTCCTGAAACGAATTTGTAGGATAGATTTGTATGATTTTGCAAAAATCGTATTCTAATCATATCCTATTCTATTCTATTCTATCCTATCCTAACCTATTCTCGCATGAAAATTAGTACAGGCATTTCCAATGAAAACTGTTAAAACGCACGTTGTTGTCTTGACTAGAAGCTTGTCATGTGAAAGGGTTTTATTTTTGAAGTGTAACATTCTATCTACTCAATGATTGAAGTCCTTCGAATAATTACGAGCGGTACCGTATATGTTAACTAACAGATTGTGGATTTTTCTACATTTGTAGAACACGAACATAACATAACCAGATCGACAGATATAATCAGTGTTTTCACCGATTGTCATCGCGAGAAAGCTTCTATTCGACGAGAAAAACTTTACTCCCGCATTGGGAGGCTTCTTTCTTCAAGATTTCTGATCCGTTGCTACGCCTTATCAAGTAACTTATGAATGCGAAAACCTCGTACAGATAGAAGGTGTGTCTTTGCTTCTTTATACATTTTCGATTAACTAGGTACGTCACGTCGACTTGTCATTCACATTCGCTATGGTTTCTCTTCTTAATGGAAAATATTCGATGCAGAATGCAAACCTTAAAAATGCCCACAAAATCAAAGCAATGAAATCGACGAAACGCATTAAAATGGAAATCAATTTCTAATCTAGTCAAAGATTAGTACCGCCCATTTATCGATCGAACTATTAGGAGAATGGGGGGAATTAAAATAGATTAATGGTAGAATGGTTTTGGAAGAGAGTATTGTACTTTTTCGAGGTAGTGCTCTGTTAATATTTTACACACAAACAGACTTATTATATTATTATAATAATTAGAGAACTCCGTGCTGAGATCATAGAATAATATCAGAATCGCTTCCTTGTATTAAACCAGCTTGCGCATAAACGCATAAAGACACGCAGTCGATTTATAAGAGAATATTTTGCTAGAAGATTGAAGCTAACAAGACTGAATTGGTTCCCGTCGATCTGCAGGTTTCCTTGCATTTTACGAACCCGCGTAAGGCATAAACGCGCGAAGACTCGCAATCGATTTATAAAAGAATTACTAGAAAATACACGAAGACGGGCCTTGATAGCAAACGTATTAATAATACCAGCGCAATCGTCTATAATCGCTACTAGCGACTACTTCCCATAGCCTTCCGAAGACTGTGAATTAGTAGTCGCGTACAGTAATTGCCTACAAAAGCGTGTTTGCCATCGAAATAATAGTGAAACAAAGAATCTGTAAGGTTTCCGAGTTAAAATCTGATTGTATTTGGTAGATCCTGGCGATGAGCGTGCAGCGAACGATCGAAGCGGTCTTCTGGTGTTCCGAAAGCAGAAGTCGGTGGAAGCGGCGGTGTCAGCTCGGCGAGGACGCGATGGTGGTGGCGGCGGCGTCGGTGTTGGCGGTGGCGGTGGCTGCAGCGGCTGGGCCACCCGAAACAAGGGTGGGGTGGGGTGGGGGCACCCCTGACCCCGACATTAGCCGGCGGTGAAGGGAGGCAACGTTTATATGCGGCGGCAATCCGCCCCGTAGGCGCATTCGCTCGCACGCTTCGTCCAAAGCGGACTTCCACGAGAGGGATCCGTTGTCATCATCTTCAGCGTCGCCGCCGCCGTTGTTGTTGTCGCAGCTGTCATCGACGAGCCGCATCCGACAAACGGAGCCTGTTGGGAAACGCCCGCGTCTTGGGATACCGACAGTCGTTGAAGAACGCCTTCGACCGAGGAATTGTTTTCGTGGCTCCATCGGTGATCCTCTACGTCGGTTCGCTCGCCGTAGACAGCAGTGAAAAGCTCAGGCGATCCTTGTTGCTCACGTACTTCCGGTTCCCCGAGGAACGAGACCGAGGAGACGAGCATCTCGAACCGAGGCTTGAAGAGTTTTCGCAAAGAAGAACAATACGGCGGATATGATGGCTGTCGCAGCGGCGCAAAAGAACCGCGAGATGTTCGCTATCAAGAAGTCTTACAGCATCGAGGTAAGTGCACGAGAACCGAAATCTTTCGAGAATCCAAACGATCGTCGCTTCTTGCGGTAACATTCGTGAAGAAAGTTTAGAGGATCGTGCTTGAACGTTTCGACTACCTGTTGCGCGTCTCCCGGGCATCGTCGCGAATGCACTTTCGTAGATCACTGCCGGGGCACAGGTGAGGTCAGGTGTTAAACGAGGCTCGAACGAAACGCGAGAAAGCGCGGGAAGTTTGCCGTGTGTTTGAATCGGCCCGGTTTTCCCGCGTGACGTTGCCAATCCGCGGCTCCGATTACCTCGTTTTCCTCGGTCGTTGCAAACAACGAGCTACAGCTATCGATCGTGATCGTTCGACTCTCTATCATTAGATCGTTCGATACAATTTCGAGTCCGGTTGCGTCCCGAGGTTACACGAAATCACGTTCGTACGCGACATACGGTAAATAAATGATAAATATAGCTTGGAAATGGATAAATATTTTGAACAGCTATTTACATGCGCTATCGATCTCGCTATCGATACTCGGTTCAAAGCTGCACAATTTTCAATATCATGACAGAAACGGGATTCTCCGAGATTTATCCGGCATCCTTACCGGACTTTCTTACACGGAAGAATTTCTGCTTGCCTACGTGACTTTCGTGGTAAACCTTCGGTGTATTTCGTAAGAAGCACAAAAAAATTACATCGTACGCTGGTATTGGCGCGTACATGCACACACGTTCACACGGAACGCCGTGGACCGTTCGTCGAGCGGCCCAATCAACGGCACGAGTGAAATTCTCAGCCTGGAAATGAAGAAGAGTCCGAGTATAGAGAAAGTACACGCGATCAGTTATTATCGTTGTTGCGCAATATTAATGACCTTGTCGCAGAAGAGATTCTTATTGTAGTCTGTGCACGTGAACGCGAAAAAAATGAACGATCTCGATCGACGATTAGAGTACTTCCGAACAGGGCAATCGAGGTGTTCGATCGTGCTGGAAACAAACTTTTCTGACAGCAAATTTTTCATTCGATAAATTCGTTTATCGTAGATTTTCAAAAGTCCAATATCTCCTTGAAAATATTCCACAAAAGCATTCGATACTTTTTTCATAAGTTTATTTTTTGTGTTCCTTGGACCGAAGGTTAATCGTAGACCCGATGAAATCAAAATTAGACTTCTATAAATCAGCGGTGTTCAATAATTGCTCGTAATAGTGCATATATATAGAGTGTCGACGTTCACGAAATAAAAATCTAATATTATCATCGTCGTTACCTCGGTCTGCTAGAGTAAAAAGATCGTGCACAGGAGCATTTGCAGCTCCGCGAACAGCGTCGGCGATCTAGGTACGTTCTGACGCGATAAACCACGCGATACGCCGACACTCGCCGATAGATCCTAATGTATAGCGCGTAATTACGAGTTGCTAGCTAACGATCCTTATCGAGCGAAGGATTCCGTCAGAAAACCACATTCGAAAGGTCAATATCGTGTCTCTTCCTGCGTTTAATTGATAGACTGTACCGGTTGTTAATCGGCGCGTTCTCGAGGTCGTAATATTGTTTTCTTCGCTCACGCTCGCAGAGAGGCGTGCACGCTTCGCGCGCGGTGCGCCTTCGAGCGCACAGGTCCTTAGAAGTCGCAAGGACGCGTCCCTGTGCGTCTTCTGCACGACAGCGTCTCTAATTTTTCAAAATCCTACCGCTGGACAGTTTAATTGGCATACCGGCAAGGCCTGTAGGCAATTTTTTCATTCGTGCGTGCGTTGCGCGGCACGCGACCATGCGCGGCCAGCATCGGAAGAGGTTCGTTAATCGGGACCGGTGTTCGCTCGCGTATTCTTCTGGCGCGACCAGTTTTCCCATGAAATTCGAAATCGCCGGCTTCGACTGCTGTACGTCCGCAGTTCCTCGTTCGCAAATAGAAAGGCGGTTCGGGATCTCGCGTTGCTCGTGCGACGCCGGACGCTTTCCGGGGAACGAAAAGCCCGAAGTTCACGCGCGACGCGACTCGACTCGGCGACGTGAAATTTCTCACTTGACGCATTTCACCGGAGAGACGCGAAGATGAGTGCTGCTCCCGTGATGTGGTCGTGAGCTCCCGTTACTTTCTCCGTGGGTCCGAGGTATCTTCTATGGCCCGGAGAGCCGCCGACGACGGGCTTGTAGCGTATCGACGCGTATAAAGATATTCTGGTCGGTAATCGGGCAAAGTTCGGCCCGGTTCCGGCAGCTGATGAAATCTTTGAAAAGTCTTGTATCATGCACCTTCACGAAAAATCCGTGTCGAACACGCCGACGATGCTCGAGGCTCGTTCCCCGCAGCGTAAGGATTCATTATACCGGACCTTGTCCAGCGTATCGCCGCGTTCCCATTAGGCTCGGCTCCGATCGAAAGATCGTAATTCACGAGTTCTCGGTGAATTGCGTCCGTCCGTTCACAATGAAACGTTCGTAAATTCGCTCGCACGCTCTACGATAATCACGAAGCCAAACGTTGCCGACGACAACTCTGACTCACTCGAACGGAACTCGCGAACGCACACGTTCGATGCGCGCGATCTGTGCTGGATCCAGAATCCGCTAGTCGCGGACTCGTTTTGGATCTGGTCGAACGTGTTCATGCGAGGACGACGAGGGTTGCCGAACGGCCTTGATCGTGTTCTTCAAAATGTCGTTCGCATCGTGTATTCCTCGTGCACGAACCGTCATCGAACTACCCTTTCAGAGGGTACGAGAAACGGATATCTTATGCTAATTCTTTTCAGTTCTACGGCGAGACTTTTATTCCAATCGCCACGTTTCGTTTATCAATTTTATGGTTCGCACGATTTTTTTTATTATTTGTTTCATAAAAGTATAGATTTCTTTGCGATTTCGACGGAATCTATCTTAGCACATTCGTGACTTCGGTAATTCTAACGTAAATATTGTAAAAGGGCTGTTTTGTGCTCGGGTAGTAGAGTTTTTTTGCTGTGGGTGATGATCAATTGCTGTGCCTTTGGATTCTTTTCAGGCATGATTAACTTTATGTTTATCGAATAAGACATATTACATTGTTATTCTTTTACCTTGCTTGCTTTTTAATCAAAAAGTTTAACAATGTCTTATCCGATAAAAATAATGTTAATTATGCCTGATTGATCAATTCTCTCAATTCGATTTGTCTAATATTAACACGTTCGCGGACAGTAAAAACTTTAACTAGCTGCAAAAATAGACAGGCGATCTATTCTTGAACCAATATATAAAAGTGCATAATCTAAAGAAAAGAAAAAAAGAACGCTACATAGAATTGAATGCATAATAATGTGGCTTATTAATTTAAACGTTATAGCATTCGTGTCAGTTTGTATCGGAATGAAAAAACTGAAGTCTGTTTGGAGCGCGCGAAGGGTCGAGCTACAAAAAGTTTGTTTGTCGCGTGGAAAAGCATAAAGTCGGTGTAAAAACAATCGAATTGATAAAGGTGTAAATAGATGCGTGTAAGAAAAAATGTGGAAGATTACGTAAACGTTGCTGTGTACACGCGTACCGACGATTTCATGTTGGATTTCAGAATCCGTCGGTAAGATAAGTCAGTCGGTTAGAAAATGTGCATAAGTGAATAAGTTAAGCGTAACACGGATTCGTTATAAAATCTCATAATTAGCTTCGAACACCCTCGTTCTATGACGGTGATGACGGCTGTCGGTTGATCCGATCGACAGGATCCTGTAATCATATCGCGTTGCAACATCGATCGACCTCGAATCCCGCATGATAATTATGAATATGTTATAAATATGAGAACGGAGTGATTGTAATTCCAGTGGCCGAGAGGCGCGGAGAGTCCCTGAACGCTGCTCCGAACCCCGTTATTCGCCTTTGGAGGCTCGCCAGATGCACGACAACGCCTCTAGCGACTTATGAGATCGATCGATCAGTCAATTATAACACCGTGGTTACGTGCACAAATGCATCGCGTCCGTCTCGGTGTTCGACAATCAGCTATGTTAATCATTCTATTTAAATATCGTGTTTTGCCTGAACCGGCTCAACGATTCCGAACGATGAGAAAAATAGATATTAATGCACCAAATGCATTATGTATACCGGTCGCGTAACTTATTTAGCATCGGCCACCATCGGTTGTCTGGTTACATTTTTTTTCTAAAAATTTTTTCCTCCGCCTTCCATAACGATCGTTGGTTTACCGAGATTCTGTGCGATATCGTTGTTCATGCGAGGCTTCGACTCGATCGGCTTCGGATCTGTAAGCATTGATGCACTCGTGATTTCGTAGTCGACACAAGTGGCGCAACTGCATCGTTTTCACAGTAAATATAATAGAAATCGATGCTCCTCTCTGACTCCGATCAATCATAGGAATTCAGTTCCGCGGACTAGATACCGGAGACACCGAGAGTTTCCCTTTCAGTAGAATCGATCCGTGTCATTTGCAATTCAAGCCGGCGCGTTGTTTTTTTCAATTAATTCACGACCAATGTTAGAATTTTGAACTTGTCCGGCGAACTTAGAATAACTGGTTTCGCCGGCGAGGTAGCGCATAACTAGGCGTTGCACAGCTTGTTCACGGCTGATTCGTCTCAAGGTGCATATCAAATAAGTAATAACGTTACGGCGGCTACGATTTTAATGACAAAATAATGATCGGCCTTGAATACGTTTGTCACGGGTCATTACGTCGTCTTGTAGGCAAAAAAACCATCAAACATATCGATTAAGCATGGAACTCGCCTACGATTTGTTTCAAATGCTAAATATATTTCTCGCGTTACATTATGAGATAACGAATAGATCGTTTCCTCATCGAATTCAATGCTTCGCGATAGAGCAGTTACAGAAAACCACCAACGTGTTGGACATTCGCTTACGTTTCATTTACCGATTGCTTCGCTTATACTCGAACGATACTTCCGCGTGAACATGAAAAAATGATGCTCTTCTCCCATATTGCCCTTGTATGTCAAACATTATCACCTGCCAACGAGCGAAACAAAGAATTGCACGGATAAAAGGCAGTCTAATCTGTACGGCAACGTTAGTCAGAGCAATTATCGAGGTGACACCTTGTCGTGACACACGATCGATCTGTAACGGATGGCGCGGTCGATCGAAGTCGAACATTTTTGCTGCGTGTCGCACGGAAGAATTTTCAATTCGACCAGTGCTTCAATCTTTCTACGGTATAATTGTCTCGTGATGCAATCATTCGGCAGAGTCATCGGTCATCTATCCGTTCCATCGACGAGTACTTGGCCCACTTTGCCGTTCGCGTGGATAAGGGATTACTACACAGTTTCTCTAAACAGTGCCAACCACTTTGCTCGCTTGGAAAATGTAACTGGGTCCCACCTTGTGCGCCATTCATGAAAAGCGGTCGTTAAGAATTTGAATGGCAACCGATGTGTCTCGCGGTGTCGGACCGTTGCGCCGATAGATTTCTAATGAGATTATTATTGTTCAATCGGGTCAAGTTCTCAGTTCTCGGTTTGTCCTTGAACGCGAGCGAAACGATGAACAATTTCATCAGCAGCATTCCGCTGTCCGAACTGTCCACCTAATTTTACGGTAATTTAGCTCTTCGCCGTTCTCTTCTTCGATTCTTACGGAATCATCGACACGTCGAATCGATCCCCTTTGTTCTTCTTCGGACAGGATTCCCTAATTTCCTATCCTTCAACTGCAACCGGACGGCCGGAACGAAAATTCATTTCCGTGTGTTCGGTTCGTTGTCACAGCTGCCGGATGTTCCTTTGTGGCCGGGCCCAGGTAGTTCGGTCAACTTTCATCGTTCTTCGACTTTGAACGTGCAGAATCTAATTGTGCAACGAGAACATCAATCGGAACTAACACCGAGCGAGTTATACACCTTGAACCAGTATTTAAAAAGAAATTCAAAATATTTACGAACCCGTTTTGCATGGTTTGTTTAGAACGGATATCCGGCGAGACGACGATCTCTCGTGGATGATGCTCGATTCGAGTCTTTGGTTGTGAAGCAGACTAAGCAAAGCGTTTTGGAGGAAGCCCGTCAACGCACTAATGGTAAGTGTTTGTTGATTGACGCTCCCAAAATACTTATATTTCAGGTAGATTTTGTATCATAAATGTTGTATCCTAGATGTTGTATCATAGCTGTTGTATCGTTTAAGTCTCGCAATCCGGAAATACGGGTTCCTCGGATCATTCGAAGCAACTTCTTCCTTTACAAAAATTTTTTCTGAGGCACCTTTACAGAGTTATTAACGAAAAACAGTGACCAATAAGAATCGAGTACGGCTGACGCGGGGCGGTTCAGCCAAACAGCGCACGAATGCGCTAGGTCCATTGGGTCAGTCCCCTCGCGCCAGCTGAGCTCGCCTCTCATTGGTCACCGTTTTTCGTTAATAATTCGTTAGTGGTGCCTCGGAGAACATTTTTGTAAAGGAAAAAGTTGCTTCAAATGACCAGAGGAACCCGCCACTTTCGGATTGCGAGACATTTTTGGGACACCCTGTATACAAATCTATAGTGAATTATGTCATAAGGATGCATAAAGGTCCATAGCGAAAGCATGTTGTCGATGTTGCATGGAAGTTTTGTTTGCTGCTAGATTCGGAATCAGACCACCAGACCGAAGTCACAGTTTCGAGCGACGACGAGCAAGTGGAGACGCTGCTTTGCGCCGCCAAGAACGGAGGTTTGTATTAATTATAAATTCGTTGCTTCCTCGGTCAGCGGCGTCGATCTAATGGAATAGGTTCGAATGAAAAATCATTGTCGTACAATATTTGTATATTAAAATTTTGATTTCTGTCTCGTCGCTCTGACCAGAAGTTATTAGATGTTGCATTTGGCATGAATGTTGTCATTGACTTGCAGAGGCGAAAGCGGAAGTTTCGTCGGACAGTGACACTAAACCGGACGAGGACTATGACGATGGTAAGTGGATCACTTTTACAACATCATTCAGTCACGTTCGAAAGTCCTGGAGATTGTTGAACATCGGCGCAAGGTCTAGGGAACGCGGAGCAAATGGAGGGTGAAATAAGCCTTATATTTTTGGTCGGAGGTAGTTCGGTCGAGCGCTTTCCTGACGCTTGGTTGAATTACGCGGCAGAGACCCATTACCTTTGCCCTTCTTCGCCTTCCTCTCCCGGCCGGTTCTCGCGATGCATTTTCGAATCCACTTTATCCATTTAGAATCGTATTAGCTACGCAGACCCAGTTTCTTAGCTCTGAGTGGTCATCGTACGCTCGCGATAAATGCGTAACGCAGTTATGCCCTTTTTGCTCCCTCGATCCCGACCCGTAGGCGGCGCCGAGCACGTCCGTAGCTACAATAAGGGGTTACTTCATTCTTTTTCTCGTTCCACTCTCGCCTCGGCCGTATAAAAGTGGCCGGGAATAGACATTTCACGGGAATGGACTCTGAATTGCTCGATTATTACTATCCACTGAAATCACTTAGCGTCTGAAAATGTCGCGCAGAGGAACGTGGCCGGATTGCAGAAAGATTCGAACCGGCGAATTAAGAGCTCCAGTTTTCTCCGAGTCGAAGATAAAAATCGTTCGTACCCATTCCGCGAAGAATCCCCAGAACGTTAACCGATACGGCTGAAATGTTGCAAGGGTTACACGCTGAGAGAACGTTTGCCGCGTTTGCTTCTAGATGCCGGATTGACCGAAGAGGAAGTGGTGCTGATGAAGACCATCGCCGAGAGTCCAGAGAGCGAGCACGCGGTGCAGAAAGCGGCGCTTGTGTTGCGTCTGCGAGAAGGGATCGGGTCCTTGGCTAGGATCTTGAAGACGATCGAGAACTTCAAGGGCATGGTGACCCACGTTGAGTCTAGACCGTCGAAGCGAGAGGGCCAGCAATTCGACGTGCTGGTCAAAGTCGACATGAGCAAGCAATGCCTGCTGCAGCTGATCAGAAACCTCCGGCAGAGTTCCGCGTTGGACGGCGTCAGCCTGCTCGCGGACAACTCCGTCAGCATCAAAGATCCGTGGTTCCCGCGTCACGCCTCCGACCTTGACAACTGCAACCACCTGATGACCAAATACGAACCGGATCTCGACATGAACCATCCCGGCTTCGCCGACAAGGAGTACCGCGCTCGCAGGAAAGTGATCGCCGAGATCGCTTTCGCTTACAAGTACGGAGACCCGATACCCAACATTCCTTACACCGAGACGGAGGTCGAGACGTGGAAGCGCGTGTTCGACACCGTCGTCGAGCTGATTCCCAAGCACGCTTGCGTAGAGTACCAGAGAGTCTTCAAGAAGCTGCAGGAGGAAAAGATCTTCGAGGCTAACCGTATACCTCAGCTGCAAGAGGTCAGCGATTTCCTGAAGAAGAACACGGGATTCACTTTGCGACCCGCGGCCGGGCTGCTCACCGCCAGAGATTTCTTGTCTAGTCTCGCGTTCAGGGTGTTCCAGAGCACCCAGTACATTCGCCATATCAAAACACCGTTCCATACGCCGGAACCGTAAGTATTTTCAACGCGATCACAACTAACCAAAGTTATCCATCGGTCTGAGAATTAATTTAATCCTTTGAAGACGAACGTCGGCATAATCACGGCATCGCGACTATAATTATAGCGATATTATGTTTTATGGTATTTGGACAATAGAAAAATCTTATTACGACGAACCGGATAATCGAAATTCTACTGTACTTTTAAAAAATTCTCGTTCGTAAAAGTTAGTTATCCGCTTTGTTAGAATTCGGGCGGATACGTGTACAGTGTTTACAGTCGAATTAATATAACCCTTTGCCATTTTAACGCTCGCTCAAAGCCATTTAAACTTTGAATTCGAAATAGTTTTACCGACTTACAGAGTACTTCCATTTTGTATGATTTTTTAACAGTTTATAAAGTATAAACAAATTTGATAATGTTTTTGAAACGTTATATAACAATGTCAAGTGGTGAGTCGAAGCCACCGGTCGAATGCAAAGGGTTAAAATTTCGAAGTGACATTATTTTCTTCTGATTCTTCGGGCGCGTGCATAAAAAATTCGTATTGGGTTGAACAGTAGGGTAATCGATACTATGTTATGACGACAAGGGTCGCATCCCGTTACACAGAGTACCATGATAATACAATTTCCACGCCCCTCTAAGCTCGTAATGGAGCTCTAATTGGCTTTTAACGACACGATGGCGTTGATAATTCAGTTTCACAGTTGCGAACCGTTTCCGTGCGAAAGTAGCATGTGCCGGATGTTGAGCATCGAAAGTACTTTCTTTTATGCAAGAACGTCGTCGGACCATTCCAAACGTGTCGACTATTACGTCAAGAATAATGTTAAATAAAAAACATTGTCAATGTATAATCAGATCAACGAGTGTTCCGCGAGTATGGTACTTATATTTCGTTCCCGTTTGATCAGTTCCGAGTAACTTTAAATATCCACCTGCCACCCAATTTCATTAAACTTTAATAACGCTATATAGGGTGATCTACCCAGTGGATGAACACAGAAGGCTATTAACACAATTTTAAATTATTTTGATACACCAAGGGAAATCGAAACAATTTTTTTCTTCGTGATAATCTCAAACGATATTATTAGATAATGTTACACGATTGAAATAGTTAGTGATCCCTCAATTTTTTACATTTACAGCTTTTTCTAAAAGTGAAGTATAAAATTCAGTGGGAAAAAGACAAAAATTTTCACGTCAAAACGTTGCGACAAATATTATATTTTTCATGTAATTCGAAAAATCGCCGAACAGTGTTCATTCATAGGGCATATACCGCCAACTCTGTGAATCGCGTAAAAATGTCTAATAATTGATTGTGGTTCTATTAAATTCACGTTTTCTCGTTTACAGAGACTGCATCCACGAGCTGTTGGGACACATGCCACTGATGGCCGACCCAAGCTTTGCTCAATTCTCCCAAGAGATCGGTCTCGCGTCGCTCGGTGCTTCCGACGAGGAGATCGAGAAACTGTCCACCATCTACTGGTTCACAGTTGAATTTGGCCTTTGCAAGGAGGGTCAGGAGGTGAAAGCATACGGCGCAGGCCTTCTGTCAGCGTACGGCGAGCTGCTTCACGCGCTCAGCGACAAATGCGAGCGTAGACCATTCGAGCCGCAAACCACGGCGGTTCAGAAATACCAAGATCAAGAATACCAGCCGATATACTTCGTCGCGGAGAGCTTCGAGGACGCCAAAGAGAAATTCCGTCGCTGGGTGAGTATGCGCGGCTCGATAACGGAGACTTCGATGCCTAACGCGTTGCGCAGTAGTCGACAGTCCTCCTACATCGATCATTATCACGCCGTAGCGCTCGCTCATTGGCAACACGACCGAATTTCGGTCAAATGACAAACTACCAATCAAAGTGGAATTGTACAATAATATACAGGCTGTCCCAAAAATGTCTCGCAATCCGAAAGTAGGGGATTCTTGAGGTGATTCGAAGCAACTTTTTCCTTAGCAGAAATGCAATCCGCGGCTTCGTTTACGAGTTATTAACGAAAAACAGTGACCAATCAGAGGCGAGATCATTTGGCGCGAGACGACCGAGCCAATGAGCGGAACTGGGCTCCGTGCACTCGTTGGCTGGGCCGCCGCGCGCCAGCCGAGCTCGGCTCTTATTGGTCAGTGTTTTTCGTTAATAACTCGTAAACGAAGCCTCGGATTGCATTTTCGCAAAGGAAAAAGTTGCTTCAAATGACCTGAGAAACCTCCCATTTCCAGATTGCGAGACATTTTTGGGACATCCTGTATAAAGCAAGATGAGAAAAATCGAAAGGCCTAAAATAGAATATTATATGCCGAGTGTCCATCAAAAATGGATCTTTTAAACAAACCAATCGTCAAAATAGTATTTGTAAAATAGTAATTTGTATTTGATAGTTGAGCAAACGCTGCAGTTAGTTCACATTCGCGAATTATTTGTTCCGCAACGTTCGACTGCATCGAAGAATTAACAACGCTCTGAATTGTCGTCGCTGACTGAAATTTTGTGATTCAGGTGGCCACCATGAGCCGACCGTTCGAGGTGCGATACGATCCTCATACTCAACGGGTGGAGGTGCTCGATAGCGTCGACAGGCTGGAGAATCTTGTGTCTCAGATGAACACCGAGATGACACATCTTACGAACGCCATCAACAAAATCAAGAAGTCTTTCGCGTAAGTCCCGCGGAAGGAGCCCATCCCCATGACACGAAACGGTTGTTTCTTTCGCGAATCGTCGAGCTTTACGATCGATCTTCGATGTGATCTAGATAATTACGATGCTTCTAGTGATTGTTCAAAGAATTCTACCGTGGATCATGAAATTCAAAGTTTCTATCGCAACCTATCATCGAGTCGAGGAGAATCGCGAGCTAGTACATTGTATCTTAATCGAATTGTGAATATTTCTTTGGGAGGACGTCGCGGTCTCGAGACAGGCTCGGCGAAGCACGTCATTTCATCCTTCGGTCGTCATTCTTCTTCGGCATCGAATCGTTCTCACTCTGTGTATAAAGTCGTCCATTCACACATAATCGTACGCACGTGCGCGTGGCAAGCCTCTGTCGGTTCACGTTAGAGTTTTCGAGGTCGAATTGATTTCTCGCGACACTGGACGCGAAATCTCGTGTCATTCCTTGAACAGAAAAAGTATTACCGAAGAACACTGTGCGTCGAAGTATTATATTACTCCTAGCAATAAATTACCAATAACATATTACCTCGAGCGTGAACGATCTTACCGTAGAACCAATCACGCGCATATGTGTACGCGTTTCATTGTTTTCTTACATTATACATAGTATATTTTATTTTATCGTAGTATTTCATATTATTATTATTATTATTATTATTATTAATATTATTATTATTATATATGAAAGTTAAAGTATTCACTACTGCGTGTCAAATTGCTTCGTGTAGGCAAACGATGAATATCCACCGCGATAGAAAAGTATTTTTCCGCATCGTCTACACTTAGTTTAGCTGTGTCGCAAGACGACTAGTATTAAAAGACAAAGTAGGTCGTTTATTTTTGAGAATCGTTAACGAAACCATCAACTTCTTGGGAAACGCGATCATCTCTAGCGGTCGTGACAAGCATTCTTAAGGGAACAACAATCGCAGGTCCAACATCTACGAAGTTTCGTTGCCTTTCCTATATCTCTCTTTCTGTATATTTTAGTTCCAATGATCTGCCTAATAGCTGAGACTGGGCGACGAAATAGCATGTTGTTTCCCGAGGAACTTGTTGCCATTCACGAATTTGCTTCGATAGCGAAGCGACAAAGTGTTGTATTAGAAAACGCACTGTCTAGCGTGTAGTGCGAGTCCTTGCTTGTGCACCCCCTGCACTTTCTCCCATCGCTAACTCGTACCAAATACTTTTCCGAGTTCGTATTAACGCGCGCGCCATTTTCATGCTTGCTCAGCCGTAGAAAATTATTAGCGCGCGCACATACTAGATTTCCTTTGTATGATATTGTAAAGTACTCAGAGCATAATAAAAACCTAAGATATGAATCTTATAAGCTGTACTGTTCATTCTCGCCAAGCGAAACTTGGTTCCTTGGTTCCATTTTTGGGACACCCTGTATTACTGGCTGAAGCATCACGGACCGAAGTGAAATATGCTTCTTCATGGATTGCTTCGAGACGAATATCACACCGATCAACATCTTTACTGCTTTCTGTTTGATTCGAATCATCATGACGATGCCCACGTAATGTCGGACATCAACCGATGGACGGAAGCTCGTGTCACCGCTAACAGTCATGAAAATCTTGGTCGTACTCGGCGTACTTGCGATACAGTGCGCCGCTGCTAAATCATGGAACAGCGACGGTAAGTGGCAAGTGTGTCGGTGTCGTCGATTGAAATATAACTTTGGCATTCAATTTGTCAGGTTATTTGGAGGAATCCTTCTCCTTTTTTGGTTGGTTCAACTACTTGAAACGTCTCTCGATAATAGCGTTACTGCTATCAGCGGTGATTCTTTATTATATTCCAGAATCTCGTCCATGTGAGTACTAAATTGATAAACCGAAAACCAATAAGTAGACTGCTTGATGCGAGACTCATTTTGTGGGGACTAAAATAGGGGAAACATTTCTTTCGTTAACTAAAACACTCTTCGCAATGAAAATGTAATGAACATATTGTGCGTTTCTATCGATATACGTGATTTCTTGTATTTTGGAAATTTATATATCATTGCATTACTGCCAACTCATTAAAATGATTGAGAAAAGACAAATGTTCTGAAAAATGTTTTTTATTTTCTGCAATAGCTCGAATGGAATGGATATTGTGAACACTTTAGTCCTCGAGTGAGAAAACAGATTGCAAATCGTGTTAATGACATGCTTCTTCCACAGATGCGCGCAGAATTTGTTACACTATAATTGACATCACGGCTAGTTCTTTGAAATCGGCGCTCAGCACTTGCGAAAGCGACGATGTGTATGAAACCATCAAATCGAAATATCATCGTGCAAAATACGAACGATCCTCGAACCGGCGTTCGCGAGAAGGTCCAGGTTATGAAAACTTCAATCGCGCGCTTGATTGCAACTCGAAGCTGAAAATGAGTATGGACGACGATGGATTACATGAGTCAGTTCAAAGAACATTCTCTTTTTCTTCAATACAAAAAGAAATAGAAATCGAAAAGTATTTTTCGATACAAAATCAAATCTATTTGAAATTCTATAAAACAGCTGATAATTCCCTAAAATTCTGTTGTTTTTTTTAAATTATATAGATGCGACAAGTATTATAAAATTAAAGATAAGAAATGTCATTTAGAAAATTATTTTCTAAGGACAGGTAAAAAACGAAATTTCATTTGCAATAAGAGCACTATTTTAAGATTTATTATCAGATCTCTACTATATAATTAGCATCTCTGCTATAAGCTATACTTATAAAACAAGTCTATTATAGATCTATTATAAATATAAATAATATATGTTACAGAATGCGGGAGAAAAAGAAATTGCTAAAGAAGCAAAGCAAAGATAGTCGGCAATCACGTCATTACCAACGAAACAGCTTCAATAAAAAGGATTCTGACCTTTGCGTGGAAACGCAACCGTCTTATTTTTATACCGACCGAGTGGGCGATTTTTCGAAGCCCGTAAAGTCGAATTTACGTGGTCTGAATAGCTGCAATGAATCGACCGAAAATTATGCACTTTTAATCAGGTACACAGTTGTATTACATTAAAAATTCTTTTCTTTAGGAAAATTGCTGCGGCTGATATAACGATCGTTCTGAGAGATTTAAGAGTTGATAAAACATTACATCGTTATGCATTTTATATTGTTTAACATTTCGACTGCCACACCAACAACTTCAAACATATCACAAAATTAAAGCATTCTTCTTTAATCGAATTAAAATTGAAAAATTAAGTTGTATGACATGAATTATTTTTTTATATAATAATATATATATATATATATATATATATATATATATATATATATAATATATATTTATAATATATAATATAATATCC